AATTCCTTGAATGAAAGAACAAGAAAAACCTGGTGCCTAGCTGCAGTAAGAAATGACTTTATTCTATGTGGATTAGTATGCATGTTTACCTATCTGCCCAGTGGAAATGACTGCGCAGTACTGTGTGAGATAGTTAGAGGTTGATGTTGACTTGCAGTAATGTAAACCTGTTCAGGTTTTTCATCAGGGTTTTACCGATGAAAATTCAGTAAGGAATGACTTCTCTGGCCTAGAATGGGACAGAATACTTGACAAAGTGAAAGAGTGATCCCCTGTCTTCAGTGTGTGTCTTACCTGAAGTGATCTATCTAAATCCTCATTGCAATAACTCTTTTTGTTGCCTGAAAGCTCTGTGAAAATGTCCTTTTATGATACCATTGACCTTTGTGTTCACAATCTGATAAGTAAGCGTCAGTATGTGTAAGTCATGGAGATGAAATAACGATACTGTCATAGGTTTCAATGAACTAGCATGAACTGGATATGCAGCAGCATTGTAGCTTGCAAATTATGATGATCAAGATAAGAATCTGCCCGTATTTAATCTGCACACTCATGTTGTTCATTCTCAGTGTCATCCTTCCTGTTCTTTTAAAGCTGTATGCTTAGAGGAGGCTAAACTTTGTTTGTATTGCTTTGTTTACCTATGAAGCCTACCACAGTTAAAAGCTAAATGGCAGAAAAGTTATTTACTGTGTAAAAAACAAACAAACAAAACCCCACAAAATAAAAAAACAAACCAACTCCCAAAGTTGCAAGGTTGGTGAGGAAATTGCACGGTTGGTGTTTGATAATGCATGTGACTGAACAAAGGTGTACATTCAAAGAAAGACAATCCAGTTGCCCAAAAGTAAGGTGCAGACAGAGGGGTTCAAGAAGGATGCTTAGGTAGAATATTGCCAAAGACATACAAGGACCCAAACAACATTTTTTTGTTTACAGAATATTTCTTTTTTAGTTTGTCGTTTTCTCCAGTAAAGAATAAAAGCTGTTTGAAAGTTAAGAGCAGACTTAAGCCAGCTCTTCTGTGACATTGAACAAGGAAAAACTGGTTGTATTCCTGGAGGGTTAGAAGTCAAGTTGGTTTTGTATAAATTCAGCTGAACTTTGCATCTCCCTTCTCTATTAAATGTTTTTGAGGTTTCAGCTTAGTTTAGGGCCTAATGCCAACCTTTTCCAGGTTCATGGAAAGACTCCCACTGAGAGTATGTAAGAAACACTGAACGAAGGAATAAAATCTACCCACATTTCAATACTGGTTTTGATGATGGTTACGGTGTGTGCATGAGACTATATTAATCTGGTGAGTAAGTACTTCCAGCTTGTCTCATGCACCTTTGTTTTTAAAATGTTCCTGGTCGTATCACTGGACATATTTTATAAACCTTTATCAGTTCTCCTACCTGTGACATTTACTAAATGAGCATTGTTGTCTGTCAGTAGGTGGCTAATTGTGCCTTTGATCATTCCACACATTGTTTCAAGCCACGAAAAAGACATGCTAATGTTCTAAAATCATAGTTAAATACAGAATAAAAAGCAGTGGCTCAGGGCTGGAGGCTGCAAAGTACTGATAGCTACTTGTAATGTGTCAAGTTTCTGCAGCTGCCACGGAGGTCATTGACAAAGCCCTAAGTCTGGATCTGTTCTGAAAGTCAAAATATATCCTAGAAGAGTCAGAAACCATTAAATACACCTTTAGCTTTTAGTATATTCACTATATATTTCCTATATATTGCTAAATATAGCGTATACACTATCTGGTCATGTTTACCTGTTAGCTGTATGATTCTTTCCTGGAAACGCTCTGACTTTTCAAACCAGATTGAGACAAAAAGGTATATAAATCGTCTGGCTGACTTCATGGAGTAAGCCAAATTTTATTATTTATTGTACGTTTGCCCACATATGCAGATCTGTGCAAACACTGTCTCGTGTAACTATGTAGACCTGTGTCTATGTATGTGCTTTTCTCTTTAATGGGTAGTATAGCATAGGCACACACCCCAAGTCTCTGTACAGCCTTGGATGTACATGAGCTCAAAGTGTTACTGGAGGGCTGCATGCTGATGTTGTTTCGTGCGCACTGAGAGCGCTCCACTTCTGGGTACAACTCCACCAGGTGTGCAGTGCCCGTAAAGAACAAGTTGAAAAGAACCACAGAAGCCATCTTGTAGTAAAACAGTGCTGGCTGTCTGAGAGGGAGCAGGCCGTGATGTAATAGTCCACTCAAAACGCAGTCCATGAAAGAAAACATTTGCTGCTGTGTGTTAGTGTCCACACTGCTCTAATAGTGGTTTCATGGTTTCACATCCAGAAGTACAGAGATGATCAGACACTTGCAAAATTCTTGGTGTTAAAAGAAACATAGCACTGTTAGATGTGAGTTCACCGCAAAGCTAAGTATTTTTAAGTACAGTTACTGATTCCGTAGCTATGATTTCATGTAATATGCAGGGAGATGCTACTTTGTAACCTGGGACAGGCAACATGAAAGATTTTGCATGCAATCGCCTCATCTCTGATGCTTGCTTGGCCCCACAATCTGGGAGTTAGATCAGAGCTGATGAAAGCCTGAACTCCTCGCCACTCTGCTTCCTTTCTTGAAGATGGTCACGTTTGTGCATAGAGGGTAAACAAGCAACGGGTTTCAGGAGATAAAAGATTGGTGGTTTCCAAGAGACTAAGACTCTTCTGACTGCTAGAGTTCAAGAAATTCCAGTGTGCTGCTGTCTGTCTCTAGAAGTAAAAGGTATTATACTGGAGTTGTTAGGGCAGATACAGTGGTGAGTGTTTGTTCTGCTACCCCATATACAACGGGTGAAAGGAGCACTGGACTGTATGCTTAACAAAGTGTTCCAGAGTGTCTGATGCTAGTGGTTAAACCATTCAGCTGTCTTGTATCACTCAGGGACGTAAAGATCTTATATGGGAGCTAAGATATTTTAAAGTTTTTTTTTTACTGTGAGACAGAGAAGCAAGGCTGGCTAAGTAACATGCATTTCCACTTCTCACATTACAGTAAAGCAACTTGGCTACAACCCAGTGAAGAGTAAATGACTGTTCTGTGAAGTCTAAGACATGTTTTGGGATTAGCATGTATACCGGATAGCACACATTCGGTTTGCCTAGTTTAAATGTCCATGTTTAGAGCCTTCACCCCATCAACAGTTGCAATAACTAAATGTTTGGCACAGTAACTTTGTTTCACATGGGATATAAATTGTTCTGTGAAGGTGTCCAGTATCTTTCCACTGACAACAGAGCTTTGAAGTGCAGGTGAGGCTTAGTGTGTCTGAAACAAAGCTCTCTTAACTTGGCTATCTGGAGTTATGTGGTTGATTAGGGTAGGGTTGATACATCTGTCTACTGGTAATTTGGCTAATGCTTCTTATTGTAAGGTTGGTTTCAGTTGCCCATTAGTTTTTCTGATTTTAACTGGCTGGATGAACAGTTTAGATATTAGCATCTATATCAAGGTGAGGGCTTTTTTGGGAAAATGTAGTAATAGTGATCACAGTAAAGTGAAAATTGTAACATTTGCTTTGAAAAAATATACCAATTTGGGGGCTTTGAAATTTTATCTTCCGTTGTCAGTGTTGTACCTTTGATTTTCCCTGTGAAAATTCACACAAGTTGAGTTACATTCTAAATACTAGGGGAAAAACATCACAGCTCTCAGATGAGTAGTGGAAGCTTTCTGAGCCTTGACAATTAAATTGCCCCAGGAGGATTTTCTCATGGAGCAGATTCAAATTTGAGGCAGAGTCTGTCCTTGCAAGTGTTGCTCATAACTATTTAACTACTGTGCACTTGTCTGCTGTCAACAAGTGAAAGTAGGCAGTAACTGAGAATGTGCTCTACTTCTGGCTGAGGAGAGGGGAGGTAGCTGTCAAAAAAAAAAAAGTGTCAAGTTTTTCCTGTTTTCCATTTTACTGGTGCCTCGCTCCCTTCTTATGCTTCAGAAGTGGAGGAGGAAGCCACTAGTACTGAAGCAAAAACAGGGTGAGAGTGGAGTGTTGGAATGAAACGAATAGCAGGTTGATGCCAAGAGGAAGACCATGTACTTTTTTTTAATCTCGTAATTTTACTCTCTGTTATGTGCAATTGATCTAGCCTCAGAAGCAAAATAGTCATACCACTGTGCCAGGGTTAGTAGCTTAGCTGTGGTGCTCCGCTGGCATGGGTGTACTAGTGGGGCTTGTGGGGATCTTCTCTCTAATGCCAAAGAAACAGAAGAGAAGCAGGATTATCTGATGAAACCTCTTGTTCTGCTTGGGATAACGTGTATTTATGGGTATGAAGGTGTCTCGTGCTTCAAGAGCACAACAATAATTTTCAAGAGTTTTTCTGGGGGTGAAAAAAAAATAACATTAGTAAGACTGAAATGGATCCATGTGCATGAAAACCCATAAAAGTAGGTAGTGCGGTGACTGGCACTTGATGCAGTTCTTATGTCAGTCTTCAATTTCTATAATCATAACAAGCAAAGACATTTGGCAAACGATTTACCCAAAGTTTACCTTCCTGTCACTTCGGCACACAAACTTTCACCTTTAATCCTGATTAGGTTCTCGTCAGTTGTGTTTGTTCAGTAAAGCAGAGAAATGGGCTGGTCTTTGCTTTGGTGCCCTCTTGTGGTTTCGTCTACCGGCCGGGCCACATCTCTAACAACTCTACTGCTATTAAAGGATGTCAGAAGTATCAATTGTTACTGCTCAGAGTGTATTCAGACAGCTTACACTATCCCATGCAACTCGTTGTTTGCTTTGAACTAGTACTTCTATGTATGTTGGACTCTTTGTCCAGACACCCTTAGCTACCTCCGTGTAAATGAACCTATTTATGTTCTTCTTGTCGTGCGTATCGGTCTTAAGCGATTGTGGGAATATTGCAGATAGAAGGGCTGGACATTTCGGGAACATTTCTGTTATATTTCCAATGACGGGCTCATCTTTGTGTTCCCCTGCCTTGTCTGCACACCTTACTTCTATTTGAGAATGGCCAAAGTTAGAGATACAAGGTAAAATGAGAAGATTTTAGACATAGATCAGAAACACCTGCATATTTATACTTTGCCTAGGTGAAAGTATAGTCTCATGTGTGCTTGTGTTGATAAGTGGTAGTCTCTATCCTATTAACTTCAATTTCTTATCACTTACTAATTTGATTTTTGAACCTAATTACCTACAAACTTCCTCTCCACGGTTTTCTAATGTGTTTACAATATCATTTGTCTGTGTGTGCGCTGGACTTACATGTGCTGTATTTTGAAGCGATCATTGGGCAATGTAGCTTATAATGTCAACCTTGACACATTTTTGTTGTGTCAGGTGCTTGGCCTTTCAAAAAATTCACCCAATGAAGTTCTTGCTAATATGAAAAAAGATGAAGACTCTGGGTAACTTCAGCTGAGCCATGCCAATTTGCAGCCACTGATGCCCTGTTTTAACTTTTTCCTCTTGCGTTCAGTTTTATTCACTATGACAATTCTTTTTTGTTGTTGTTTTTCAGAGGGGAAAAAAACCTGATTCACCATTTTACAGCCCTGTAACGGGGGATGTTTTAGTTACTGGATTTTGCAGCAAGTTTCTGTCAAATGCAAAGGATCGGTATTGCTTGTCTCAACAGAATTGTGAAAAATATCCCTAACAACTAGCTCTGTGTTATATAAGTGAATGTTTTGTCTTTGATGCTTATGCCATGTTTTAAAAAGAAACATGCAGTTGTTTGGCAACTGGAAGCTGCCTATGCCTCGTGTATAGAGGATAGGATCCAGTTTGGGTCTTAAATCTTTTCTTCCCAAATGCATTATATTTCTTTTAGGCAGGGAGCATTCCTGTGGGGAGGTGGGCACAGCTGAAGCTGCTCAGGGAAGGGGTTTGAAGGCAGAGGCTGCAGGGCTGGGCAGCCTTGCTGCAGGGCTGGGCAGCCTTGCTTCCCGGCTGGGGGAAGAAGCTTCCTGGGGGCTACAGACAGTTGGGCTGAGTTTGCTGCAACTCCCTGGCTGTCCCAAATCTTACCTTGGGAACTAGGACCCCCTCCCTAAGGAGTGACACTGGCAGGGAGAACTGGGGAACAAACCCTTGCATTCTCACTCTCTGATGGTTGCTTTGAGATTTTGTTTTATGTAAAAATGGAATCAGTCCTAGGTTTTGTTTCAGATGCTAAATGTCAGATTTTATTTGTCTGGGGCCATTTGGGGATTGGTTATAAAAGACAGTGTGCACAGAGCCTGTTAAGCTCTGGCTTAGTTGGGATTTCTCTTCACAGTTTATTAGAATTTGGAACAGAAAAAAGGCAAATATTTGAAGTGTGTTGGGGGGTTGTGTGGTGATGATTCAGCCATAGTAGCCCTTACAAGGGGAAAGAACAAGGAATGCTGTTTTCCTGAGAAACAGCAAGCCTTAGAGGTAGGCTAAAGTGAATGTTATTGTGCTGTTTTGATTGATAATGTCCAACCCAAAATCTCAGCGTCTAAAGAGAAATAAACTATCCAACATGAAGCAGGATCACTCAAAATTTAACAGCTATGTTTTAAGATAAGCCATTTCCAATGACATTTCTGTGTGTACAGATAATTTGTAATGGCATAATTATCTGTCCTTCCTCTGGGTTCTCACTAGACTGCATTACATTATTTCTGGTTTTTTTTTTTTATTTGCAGCTTCCTTATTGTGCTGATATGCCTTATCTTCAGTGTGCTTTCTACAATTGAACAGTATGCAGCTCTCGCTACAGGGACGTTATTTTGGATGGTATGTATGTGGACATTAATGTGATTGATGCATGTTTGTTCTTAATGTTCAAATTCTTATCTCCTGAGCTAATACCACATCAAGCAGGGTGTTTCTTATGGCTTAATTGACAAAAGGCTTTTCTGCTTTTCCCTAAGGAGTCTGTAAAGCTACAGACACACCAAAAGTCATGGTAGCACAAAACACAAGTCTTACCCTGTATGGCCTATACTGAGGGCATCTATATTGTGTCCAACACACAAGGCTGTTCTAATTAAGCTTGAATCCATCATATTGCTCAGGCTAATCCATTTTTCAGCCATACTGAAGACCAGATACCTGACCATAGGGGGGAAAAGAAGTACGTGGAGGACCTTTGTTTTAGTTGATGTCAGATGGTGCCCAGCGGCAGGACAAGGAGCAATGGGCACAAACTGAAGCATAGGAAGTTCCAGCTGAACATGAGGAAGAACTTCTTCCCTCTGAGGGTGATGGAGCACTGGAACAGGCTGCCCAGCGAGGTTGTGGAGTCTCCTTCTCTGGAGATATTCAAGACCCACCTGGACGCAGTCCTGTGCAGCCTACTGTAGGTGACCCTGCTTCAGCAGGGGGGTTTGGACTAGATGACCCACAGAGGTCCCTTTCAACCCGTAACATTCTGTGATTCTGTGATCCAGCTTGCTTTCACAAGTGGACAACTCATGTATTTTCATTGACTTTAGAGCTAAGACGGCTTGCTCTACTGGTCTTACACACTTTCCCTTCAGTAAATAAACCCTTTTGTTTATAGTATACTACTGCTGCAATGGATACGTATGAAGAAATGTTACGAGAGTGTTACTGTCCTACTAGCTTAGATTTAATTCAAGAACCTTAGTTTTGGAGTTGGAGGCACATGATTTTAAACATACAAAAAATGTATAAATTTATTGTACTTCAGTGGTGAGATAACCCCTGCTAAATCATTGATTTCTCTGTAAATAAATGACTTTCATGCTTTTCACATTTTTTCATATTTATGAAAACACTATCACAGTAGTGAGAAAATGGTAACTAGCAGTTTCAATGTTTGTTCAAAATACTTCTTGTAGCTGTGCACCACTAATATCATTGTTACGTAATGTATTCATTATTAACATGAGAAAGTTTATTTAATTCCATCAATTATAATGAATTTTGTCAATTTATCTGTGCAATATTTTAAGGTTTTATACCTATTATGAATACTGTAAGGATGAGAATACAGTATATTGTATTTAGCATCAATCACACTATTTCCATTTAAGGTATTTTCATGCCTAGTATATTATTTTTAACTAATTTGTAAGACATTTGAACTCTTAGGTGTAACATTATAATTAGTTGCCAGCTAAGAGAATCTGTATTTCTGCATCCAGTACCTTTTCTGTTTTGTGGTTTGGGATTTTCTTTCTGTACAGATTTAGGAGTTGTTTTGTTTGTGTTTTTTTTTTTTGATCCACAACTACTAGTTGCGGATACTTTGCAAATTTCTGTGGTGAATTTCACTTGTGATATCTCACTCATCTTTGCAGTATATCATAAAATTTCACATGGACACAGTGTGTTGTTTCAGTTAAATAAACCTCTAGTGCCAACATAACCAGTGCTGTTTCATTCCTCCTGCCCCGTGAAATCATGGAACTCGTTTTGTGTGTTCATACTGTATGCAGTATGTGTTGTCTGTATATGTGGAATATGTTCAGTGTAATATGTATGCAATGCATTCGGGATTACATACAATGTATTTAATATCCAGTGTGTATTGGGTGTTCATACTGTTCTGTATTATCTTGCTTTCTAAGTAGAGTGAATCGGTGTTCCTGCTCTATGTCATGAGAATAACTATGGTTAATTTTTAACATTGAAATCCTACTATCATGATTTCTTGGGATTTCAGCAGTTGTTTGTTTGTTCGGTATTGGCATATTCTGATATTGTTTTCTTAAAGGATTAACTGTGGCAAATTTCAAGAAACTTAAGGCGATTACAGTGATCTGTTGGTCCAAAGCAGTAAATGGGCCAATGTGCTCTGTTTTATCCAGTTTTGATGGGACTTTAAAAGGAGTTGTGGCACCTTGCAACACACATACAAATGTTGGAATCCGGTTCCTGTTGGTGTCTACCCAGTAAAATTTCCTATTCTGTTCTTATCTGAGATTTTACTTTCACTCTAACATATCATTACAAGCTGTCAAAGTTAGATGTAACTGAATTGTTAAGGGGGGAGTTAATTGCAGATCGCTGGTTGAAGAGAAACTGTAAAACATAAGGAAGTAAACCAAAGTGTAACAGCGTAGAGGGATTAAAAAATAAAACAGGAAAAAACACAGTGCATACTTCCAACCCAAATGGTGATGTAAGGAGACTTATTAAAGCTTAGGAGAGCACTCTCTACCGCTTTGCAGTAGGAATTAATTTCTGTTCTGTGTTTGTAGAGGGACTTTTAGTTATACCACAATAACAGTTTTAATTTGGAGCCAGACAATGAAAGTAAGTAACATTGTTGTAAGTCTGCAAAGAAGGGCAAACAAGTTGATTTACAAGCTGAGTGAGAGAGACCTCAAAGGAGCACCAGTATAGCAACAACCTACCAGGAGGAGTATGGGAATCTTGAAGAAGGCTTTTCTGCTTGGGTTTATCTGGGATGGTGAAAGGGAGGGAACCTTTGGCCATGTGGAGTTTGAGGCTTATGAGACCTCAAGTCATTCCATGAAACTTGAGTTATACTGCTCGTGTGCTCTGTGAGTTTAAAATAATTAAGGTAACACTTACAGACCTTTAACCCTTTCTTTTGAAGATTATAAAATTGAGTCCACCTTTCCCAATCTGCGTTCCAAAGGGAAAATTACTGAAGCTCTTTCAAGAGCAGATTGCCTTTTATTTAGACATAAAGTATATATATGTATATGCAGGGTAGAATTCTCTCTAAATGAATTATGCTTTGTAATGCATCAAATATAAGGGTGAGGTAGTTAGTGGCACCAAACGTGTAATGTCATGCTTTGAAATTTTGCCTACCTGAGATTTTTGGATGACTTATATTTGGGCAAGGAGGAGGCTTTGACCAGGCAGCCATAGGTCTGGAAATGGGAGAAATTCCTATATCATGCTGAATGTCTGGAAGTGAGTGCTCGGAGTTAGCCTGTGGGTATGCTGAGCTGAACAGCCCCATTGAGCAAGTCTGATTAGATGAGCTTACTGCATGGGGATTGTAAATCTGATTTATCTTGAAAATAAGGTGGAATAACTGTAAAAGCATGTGTGCGTGCGTGTGTGTTTATCTGTAAACTGCTGTTACAGAATCTCTTCTATATCCTGCTTCCAAGTTGCATGGTGTTGAATGTTCATGTTGGGAAAAGTGCAGAATCTGTTCCTGAAATACCATTTAAGCAAGACCTTATAAAAAGCACAATTAAGAGCTAAACACTGTATTTCCTCCACGTAGCCAAAGGTTTTTGCTCTGACCCTGTGAAAGATCTAAGCACCTACACAACTTCAGCAGATGGTCTTTTTGAAACCAGTGAGACTGGTACATCGAAGTTACAGATGGAAGCTGTGTGCCATTTTTCATGAACAGGACTTTCATGCTTCAATAATACAGTCGTACAAGATATTACGATTATATGAAAATAAGATCTAAAAAGATTGTTGAGATTATATGTATATATTATTTCCTTTTTATTATGGAGCTGCTTGTCTTACAGTATCTCCCACTACCAGAGGAGGAAATAGAAGAAGTTATGTTATCAGTAATTTTAAAGCAGTTTAAAATGCTTCTATTTTGCGTAATAATAAGAAAAATGGAAGCTTAACATTGGAAAAATAAACAGAGGAAAGTTTATGTGTGTTCCAAGTGGTGTTCCAATTTTAGACAAAAAGCTTACAATTAGCTGTTGAATCTTTCTCTACTTGTCACCACACTTCACAAGGCAAAGAGCCTTGATGAAAGCTGTACCTAAATGCAGTTGTAGTGGGAGATTAGGAGAGAATTGGCCTTTTGTTAGTTTCCAGAATGCAGTGAAAACTGTTTAAATTTGCATGTGTTTATTTTAACTTTTTTTCACTAGATGGTGCTGTTGGAGGGACTTGACTCCCGTTACTCGTTGGCACTTGCCCAGCGTGAGGTGGAGTCTGAGCCAAGACTGTGAAAGGATCTTCATTTTGAAGGGTATATGTGCACTTGGCCTATTTAAAATAGTAGTGTGGGAGAGCTTGTGCCATGACTCATGAAAATAATGTGGTGTATCTGTGTAAAAATTTGATTTTGAGACTAGGATATTTAAACTATGGAAAAAAGTAATTCAGAGATGTATGTTCCCAGAGAGGCCATATTTTTCTTTTATTTTCATAAGCAAGGATTTTACGGTGCCAGAACACAGCAGAATGCTGTTACTGAACCAAGGGATATTTAGTGTGCCTGAAAAAGCTATTTTCTTGTAGGAATCTCATTTCAATATTGATTCCAACAAAAAAAAAAGAAGGATATGTTTTTGTGATGAAAGTATAAGCTCTTTCCAGCTTTCTCTTTTCTGAGTTCCTTGTCTACTTTAGCATGCTTGTTACTGAAGAGATGAAAAAAAATTTAAATGTTAAACAGACTATCAATGAAGATAAAAGGTAATAGTTTTGGGTGGTTAACATTTATGTTATTGGCTTTGAAATTGTTCCTACAATTAAGAGAAAATGGCACAGAGTCTAGGCCTGTGAGAAATCTAGATTTTATTTCTTTTAATACAATCTTGTGTTTTGAGTATAAGCCTTGGGTGTTGTTTGCTGGAGTGTTTTGTGGGCCTTGTGAGAAAGAAAGAGAAAAACACATGAAGCTTTTGATTCTGAAGACGGTCTTCAGAGAGAACAAATGGTTCAAATAGCTCAAAGTGTTTGCAGCATTTTTTTTCTGATTATCTTCCTTGGTTAAGAAGGCCAAGACAGAGACTTACGATCTGGACATTGGTGCGTTTTTGTCCTTTTGAAAAATTTTAAATAGGATTAATATCAGT